TGGGGGAGGGCAGCTTCTCTGTGCTGATGCTACTACTCTCCACGCTCTGCGGGTGATGCCTGAGGCTCCATTTTGGAGACTTTCAAAGCCAAGTGGAGCTACAGAGAGAAGGCCTTATCTGTCCTTTGCCCTTGACTGCTTTTGTGACCTTGGGAGTGGCACCACCCCCTCTCAGCCTCTCTTTCTGTGAACCAAGGATTTAGAGCAGGAGAACTTGAACTCAGAGGCCAGAAGGCTGAGTCTGTATGTGTGATGGTGGAGTGGAGTGGAGTTGGAGGAGGGGGCAGGCTTGGGGGCATCCTTTCACTTGACTGCAGCTCCCAGTGCCGAAAGCATGCTGGAGATCAAGTCGAAGTGTTTGATCCAATAGCTGTTCAGGAGGTTGTCTCAGGACAGGGCAAATGAGGAAGGCAGTTGGCATGCCTCAGGCCACCAGCTAGACCCTGCTGGCCCACTAGCTGAGTCCACGCTGCAAGATTGGTGTATCTTCCTCCACAGCCGGCTGCCGAGCCCTCTTCCTCTTTCACACACACAGACGCACAGAACTGCGTCTACGACCTGCGTGTGGCTGAGATGGGGCCTGTGTGCGTATGTGGAATGGTGTGTGTGTTGGCGGGTGTGAAGGAGGCTGGGCTGAGCGGCTGCCCTGGCACAGTGCACTGGGCGTGGGCCTCCCTCACATGTATGGAAGAGGAAGAGGAGGAGGAGAGCTGAAGAGAGCCTGGTGAGAGGGAGGCAGGCTCAGGGGAAGGGCCTGGGGTTTGGGAGACCTTAGCTGGAGCACTGTGTGTGCCAGGGTGAGGGAGAGGCACCCTGGGGGAGGTCTGACTGCAGGCTTCCCTAACCCCCCTCCTCCACTGCCCACAGCCTCTCTCTTCCCATTGGGATGATCCTTTCACTTCTTGGGTTCCCGGTGGGGCCTTACTGCTGACCTTGGCCTTGGGAAGGACTTTTGGGTCCTTCCTCAGCAGATCGGCTCTTTAGGCCCATCAGTTATTCATGGGGTCTGAGCTCTGGGGCGCTGAGAGCCGCTAGCTATCCCTACATTGCCCACCCCATGCCCTGGGGCAGGAGGTGAGGACTGAGGAAGGGATCCTAAGGCACTTTTGCACAGCTGGCTCACTGCTCCTCCTCCTCCAGGTGTTCAGCTTCTCTAGTCTCCTCAGAAGCTTCTCTCACCCTTGGGACCCTTAGTTATGGGAGGCTCTCCACCCCCATACACACCCCACCAGCAACAGGGCAAGGAGCAGTGGAACCTGGATGCAGCAAAACCTTGGTTAGGTTATTTCACATTGCTGCTTCTCAGTTTCCTCATCTGTAAGTAGTAAAAAAATAACAGAAACTGCCTCATAGGCTGGATGGGAGATAAGACTAAAAAGTACAGCAAGTGCCAGGCACTTAGTAACAATAAGCAACAATATATACTCTCGCCAACATGTACTCTTGTTACTATTACCTTTGTCTCAGGGGAGAGATTGGAGAACAGGTCCCTTGATGTTTGGTTAAGAAATGACAGTGGTGGGCTGGCAAAGTGGCTCAACTGGTAGTGTGCCTGTTTAGTAAGCATGGGGTCCTGAGTTCAAAACACTGGCCATATATATATATATATATATATATATATATATATGTATATATACACATATATATAAAGTCCCAGCTACTCAGGAGCCAACCAGGCAAATAATTTGTGAGGCCCTACCTTAAAAAAACCCATTTTTCAAAAGTGGGCTGGCAGAGTGGTTCAAGGTGTAGGCCCTGAGTTCAAACCCTGATACCGAAAAAAAAAAAAAAAAAGCATGAAGTTGGTGGTGTAGCTCAGTAGTAGAGCACAGGCCTGCCATGTACAGGCCCAGGGTTCCAGCCCCAGCACCACACACACACAAACAAAACACTGAGGGAATAAATGAACACCTCTCACTAGAGCACACCTGCAGGCCTCTGGAACTGCTCATCTTCTCCCTCTCCCCCTGGCCTCTCTGGGCTCCACCCATTCTGAGCCTCTGTCTCCCACTCACACCTGCCCCCAGGGACTTTGCTCTTGCCCTTGACTAGGTCACACTCTGCAGCTCTTCACATGGCTGCCTCCTTGTCATCATCCCCATCATCTCCTTGGTGAGGCCCCTAATCACCCAGCGGGAACCATCCCCGTCCTGCCTTCTGACTCACTCTGCCTTAGGCCTGCCTTATTTTCCTTCTAGCACAGACACATTTCTATGTCTCTTCCCTGCCCCACAGCACACACACACAATAAATTACGTACTGTACGAGACGGGGACACTACGTGTTTCATTCACTTCTGTAATCTTGGCACCTAGAACAGTGCCAAGCCCCTAGGCTAGCACTCACTAGTAGTTGAGTGAGTGAACAGTTGAGAAATGGTGGCGCTTTCGTTCTTCCTGATGATGCTCCTCTGCCACCTGACTCCAGGTTGCCTCTGCATTATCTCTTCATCAGTTCACCCCGTCTCTTTCCTTCCTCTTCCAGCCACTCCCCACCCGCTGCTGCTAACCAACATGGCAAACTTCACCCCAGTCAACGGCAGCTCAAGCAACCAGTCTGTGCGCCTGGTCACATCCACCCACAACCGCTACGAGACGGTGGAGATGGTGTTCATCGCCACGGTGACAGGCTCACTGAGCCTGGTGACTGTTGTGGGCAACATCTTGGTGATGCTGTCCATCAAAGTCAACAGGCAGCTACAGACGGTCAACAACTACTTCCTGTTTAGCCTGGCATGTGCCGACCTCATCATCGGGGCTTTCTCCATGAACCTCTACACCGTGTACATCATCAAGGGCTACTGGCCCCTGGGTGCCGTGGTCTGTGACCTGTGGCTGGCCCTGGACTATGTGGTGAGCAATGCCTCCGTCATGAACCTTCTCATCATCAGCTTTGACCGCTACTTCTGCGTCACCAAGCCCCTAACCTACCCTGCACGGCGCACCACCAAGATGGCAGGCCTCATGATCGCGGCTGCCTGGGTCCTGTCCTTTGTGCTCTGGGCGCCTGCCATCTTGTTCTGGCAGTTTGTGGTGGGCAAGAGGACAGTGCCTGACAACCAGTGCTTCATCCAGTTCCTGTCCAACCCAGCAGTGACCTTCGGCACAGCCATTGCTGCTTTCTACTTGCCTGTGGTCATCATGACGGTGCTGTACATACATATCTCCCTGGCCAGTCGCAGCCGCGTTCACAAGCACCGACCCGAAGGCCCCAAGGAGAAGAAGGCCAAGACTTTAGCTTTTCTCAAAAGCCCACTGATGAAGCAGAGCATGAAGAAACCCCCTCCTGGAGGGGCAGCAAGAGAGGAGATGCGCAATGGGAAGCTGGAGGAGGCTCCTCCCCCGGCCTTGCCCCCGCCACCACGCCCTGCGGCTGACAAGGACACTTCCAATGAGTCCAGCTCAGGCAGTGTCACCCAGAACACCAAGGAACGGCCACCCACAGAGCTGTCTACCACAGAGGCCACCACGCCTGCCATGCCAGCCCCTACTCTGCAGGCCCGGACCCTCAACCCAGCCTCCAAATGGTCTAAGATCCAGATTGTGACAAAGCAGACTGGCAATGAGTGTGTGACAGCCATCGAGATTGTGCCCGCCACTCCAGCTGGCATGCGTCCAGCAGCCAACGTGGCCCGGAAGTTTGCCAGTATCGCTCGCAACCAGGTGCGCAAGAAGCGGCAGATGGCGGCCAGGGAGCGCAAAGTGACTCGGACCATCTTTGCCATCCTGCTGGCCTTCATCCTCACCTGGACGCCCTACAACGTCATGGTCCTGGTGAACACCTTCTGCCGGAGCTGCATCCCTGACACGGTGTGGTCCATCGGCTACTGGCTCTGCTATGTCAACAGCACCATCAACCCTGCCTGCTACGCGCTCTGCAATGCCACCTTCAAAAAGACCTTCCGGCACCTGCTGCTGTGCCAGTATCGGAACATTGGCACGGCCAGGTAGGCAGGCAGTGCCTTAGGTGGTGCTGGTATTGTGCTGGCATGTGTGGCTGGGGGACCACATGGCTCACTACTGTGGGAAAGAGAGTCGCAGGCCCCATTCTGTGTTCGCATCTGAAGAGAATTGAGATCTTGGGAGAAATACTACTGTGAGGCTCAGAAGAGGCTCAGCCTGGATTCTGAAACCACATCTCTGCTCAGGCAGGAGTCTATAAACTGGGATTGTCCCAGTGCTTGGGGGCACTGGCCACCGGCCACCAAGGCTCTTATCACGGCCAGGGCCAGCCATCAGCAGAGCTAAAGAATGAACACATGGAGGGGAGCAGAGACCAGGTTTGGAAGGAGTAGAAGGGTGGGGTCCCCCGTTCTGCTGTAATTGGTGCTTTCCGCCTCCCTGCACCCGCATGTAGGCTCAGCTCCCCCCCACCCCCTCCAATCCCACTTCAGGGGCAGAAGTTTTTCCTGCTGCAGAGGCTCAGCCAGGCTCTGGGTGGGGGAGCAAGCCAGGGGTAGGCCAAGGTGGGAGGTCAGGGATTCACACTCAGGAACTGAAGTCTGAGCTCCTGGGCCCAGGTTGGGCCCAACTACTCCCTTGATGTGAAGGACACATCAAGTCAGGGGGCTGCAGCAGGTAGTACTCCCCTCCATCTGTGCTGAGGGCGGCCTGGGTCCCCGGGGTTGAGGAAAACTTGGTGATCACCCAGGTAGTAGGGGAGGCAGGTGAGGACCTTCATCGCTACTCTCACCAGTGGGTACAACATTCCTGACTTGCAGCAGCCTGGACCAAAAAACCTTTGACCAGGTGAGGCTGAAATCAAGTCATCCAGGTTCCCTTCCCCAGCCCCATTGTGGTCCAGGGAGATGACTGACTTAGGGGACTTGCTGGGGGCACCCTTAGGGACCCTGGAAGACAACGTTTTCACCCACGTTCAGCTTCTTCCATGAGCTCTGGGGAATACTCCCCACCCCCCCAAGCCCACCAGTTCCTGCAGCCTGCCTTCCCCTGCCCCCCTTTTCCCACCCTGAAACAAAGCTCCACAGCAAACTCCCTGGGAAGGGACTTTTATATATTAAAAGAAAAGCTTTTATTGGGAAACAAGTTGATTCATTTTATTTATTTCTTAGTAACAGGCATGATGGAGGGAAGAACAAAAGGGGGCACTGGGAATCAAATCCCCTTGCGGGGAGGCTCAAATTTCCCAGAATCCCTTGTCCCTCCCCACTGAGGGCACTTGGTAGGGGTGGGGAGGGAGAGAGCAGAGGCAGGCATGATTGATAAAGCTAAGAAGCAGACAAAAGGCACTGGTAGGTTATGTTTTAGGACTGTAGGAGGGGAAAGGCGCTGGCCAGGCCCCAGGTAAAGTCGTGGCTCTGAGGCATCCTGACCCAGCCTCAATCCTTTCCTTTCCCTTTCTTGGCTGTAGGACAAGAAAGAAATAGATTAGCTGAGATACACAGCTCAGAACGACCCTTCCACCCCTCCATCCCCTGCAAAAAACAAAAACAAAAACAAAAAAACTCAAGTCACAGGAGAGAAAACCCTGCCCCCTGGTGGTTTCTGATCAGCAGACCAGGTAGCAGGTGGCACAGGGCAGCCATTGTGATGCCAGACTGCCTCAACTTTCTAGGAAAGGCCAAGTTCCTGGTCCCAGCAGCCCAGAACAACAGCCTCAGCTCCTTCACCTGGGAAGCGGCAGAATGACCTCCGCCCTGTTGGCCCGGCGGGCCTTGGCGAGTGAGCGCTGAGCTGAGAGGCAGCACAGACCTCTGAGCGCCCTTCCTGTACTAGGCAGGACAGGGCAAGCAAATGCTCCCACAGAACAGTCTGTCTCTCCCTGAGCCAGATGAGGGCTCGTATGACCTCAGCACCTCCTGAGGACCCCTCTAGAACCTTCCCACGCCCATCTTTAAGATTGCTCTACAGACAGAAACTGAGTGCAGAGATGTCAAGAAGTCACCGGCCAGGACCCAAAAACTTCAGCTCCATACTCGGGGGCGAGGGTAGCCCCTTTCAGCAACCCAACCTTTTCACTGACCTTTGGTTTTGGCCTTGGTCTTGGAGGTGCAGGGTTTAGTCACGCGAATGGTCTCCTGGCACCGGGCATTGTACCGCGCCTTCTTCAGGGTGCCTTGGCGGGCTTTGGTCCCTGTGCCCCCATCACACGCCCCCCAGCTCTCAAACTTGTATTTGCAATCGGCTGGCGGGAGAGTGGCCTTGGGTCAAAGCGGGACGGCCTGTGACCTCCCTCCACGGCTCTGCCCCGCTTCCCTGCCCTCCACCTGCACCCCACCTCACCTCCGAATTCCTTCTTCCAGTTGCAAGGCACCCTGCACCGGATGCGCTGAGTCTGGGCTCCACAGGTGCCCTCGCGGAAGCCCACGCCGCAGTCCTTGCTGCTGGGGGTGCAGGGCCCCCAGGTCCACTCCGCACACTCGCTCCCCGGGCCGCCCTTCTTCACCTTGTCTGCAACGCGCGGGGAACAGAGTTCAGGACGCGGGGTGCTGGGAGACGCCCTCAGGAACCGCCTTCCCGGGGTTTCCAGTGGAGCCCAGGCGGCTAGATCCCAGGTCCCCTGCCCGTCCCCAATTCTCCTGCAACCCCCCTCTCCCTCGATCACCTTTCTTCTTGGCCACCGCGGAGGTAAGCGCCAGGAGGGCGAGAAGGGCGAGGAGGAAGAAGCCTCGGTGCTGCATCCTGGGGAGTGTGGGGGGAGAAGAGCACGGGTCAAGAGTCCTTCGCCCGTCCCCTTTCTCACCGGGGGCCGCGTGTAAGGACCTCCCACTCCCACTTGCCCAGTTTTCCAGGCCGAGTCGGGCCGCTAAGGGAGTGGCGGGAGGACTTGGGGTCCCCTCCCGCTAGACTGGGCGCACCGCCGGGAGGCGTCCCTTGGGTGCTGCCCCAAGTCCGGTCCATGGAACAGTCCCCCAACCCCGCCTCAGCCCCTCGGGCGACAGTGGCCGAGGGGTCACGGCTGCCGCGCGCCCTCCGCCGCCCCGCGCGCTCACTCGCTCGCTGCCCGCTCTGCTTCGCTCCCTCCCGCGCCGGGCCCGTCCCGCTCCGGCCGCCGCGGCCCCTTTTGTCTCCAGAACCGGTCTGAGCCGGTCACATGGGCCCCCGCCCCCTCCCCGCCTCCCCCCCCACACCACCGAGGAAGGACCCGCCCCGCCCCCTCCCCTCAAACCCGCGCCGCCCCCGACCCCGGCGTCCCCGCCTCCGCCCCGCGCCCCAGCACCGGCTTCGCGGCTCCTGTCGCTGCACGGTCGCCTCGCCCCGCGGGTGCCCCCAACTTCTGAGCCCAGGGTCTCCCAGACCCAGGCCTCCGTCCCGCCCTGGCACTCCCTGCCTCGGCCCAATCTCGGACTCTCTTGCCCTAGCTTTCCGCCCCCGCCCTCTAGCCCCTGCCCGGGCTGGGCCTATCCCCTTCCCCCGCTGGTCGCCCGCTGCCCTGCCCGCTTTCAGGTTGCCGCTTCCTTTAGCGGGCCTGAAGCCTTAGATGGGGACCAGGATGGACACGGAACCCCGGGTGTCACATGCCCCGGTGGCCAGCAGGGTGCCGGCCGTCCGGAGTCAGCGGGCGGTCCCCGTGCGCGAGGCCCCGGGGCTCGGTGTAACCCGTCGGGGCCCCCGCTCTGCTTCCCGCCGCTCCTCGGCACCCCACTTGCGGGAAGGAGCCCGGCCACGCCTTCTTGGATAGTCTCACCCCGTGGGCAGGAGGGGGCTCTGTGTTGGGGAGGCCGGTGCCCGGAACCCCAGAGAGAGCGCACAGGTTCGGAGCGCAGAGGACGTAAGCGCCTTCCGCCGAGCGCCGGTTTGAGGGGGCGGAAGGGGGACTCGAGAGAAGGAGGAGCCCGCATGCCGCAGGGTTTGGTAAAACTTGGAGCTGACAAGTCATCTGAGAAGTTCCAGACCCAGCCCCGGCGGCGAATGTGAATACCCACCCCCTCTGACCCTGGGGCCTCAGGGCTCACCTCACCCAAGCCCCATAAACAGGCCTGGGAGAGGGGGCTTGCTCCAGGCCACAGGGCAAATGGACCAAAGAACCCAGACCCAGGCCCCCGCCCCACCTCTTTCACTTTCATTGTTATCCTCCCAGTGGGAAGCGGGAAGCAGGAGGAAATCAGCTCCGCCCAGACAAGCCAGGCAGTCGGGCAGAGGTCAGCAACCGGGCAGGCCCACCTCTAGGCGGGTACCAGGATCTCCAGGAAAGGGTCTGGGTTCAAGTGTCTAATCCCCCACCCTGAGGATAACCGAGCGATCTCGCTGCTTCTACAAGACCTCCGAGGCAAAAAGAAATTCAGAAAGGAAAAAAATAATCCACTTTACTGAGTCACACCCAGCTGTAAACATGTCACCGTGAGAGTCCCGCCCCCAACCCCCAGGCCACACAGTCTGTGATGAAATGACTGGGTACATGGAGAGGGTCACCAGGGTAGGTGCCAGGTAGGGCAGCGGGCAGATGAATACAGCAGGCTCCGAGGTTCCAGGAGGAGGCCCGGAGAGGGTGAGTTGGGGAGGAGAGAAGCTAAGCTCCCAGGAGCCTTGGGCGGGCCTTGGGGACCAGGTGGCTTGCGGGGCCTCTTCCTGGAGGCCTCCCTGACAGAACCCAACCTTCTGTTCTGCTCCTCCATCTAGCCCAGGTGAGGCTCCGGCTTCCCTGAAGCCGCCCAGCCCCAATCCTATCCAAAGGCCTGTCCAACCCAGCCTGTTTCCTATCCCCCTGTGAGCCTCTGGGTCAGGTCAGGGCCTTAGGGGGATAGGTGAGAGCCCAGTTCCTCAGAGTCCAGCCCTAGGTCTGGGCGGCTCCTCAGGGGGCAGGTACGGGGCTCCTTCCCCAAGACATGGGTTCCCCCCGTGGCCATCCAACTGGAATGTAGCAGTGAGGCAGGCAGGAGGGCTTTCATCCTCTGATAGTTGTCCCTCCAGCTGCCCCACCAGCCTCCCAACTACACAGCTGTCTCCTGGTCCTCCCGCTGGATCATCTGGTAGTGCTGTCGGTTCTCCAGGTAGGCGGCCAGTTCTGTGTCCTGAGCCTTCTCAGCCCGCTGCCGGGGAGTGTCACCCTGATAAGGGGGGAGATGCAATCGGGGTGGGACCAGAAGCCTAGGGTGCCTGACTGGCTTGTGAGTGGGCAAGGGCTCTCCTCCCAGCAGCCTGGTGGGAGAAGGGACAGCCTCTGTGGCCACTGGCTCCTCCTCTGCCTCAGGGTCTGGACAGTATTGAAGGGCAACTTCAAATTCCCAAGGTCAGCGCCCCTTGTTTGGAGAGGGCTCCCCAAGTCTGGGGAAGGCTGAGTTTGTGCCCTGCTGATCTACTCACCTGTTGGTCTGTCTTCATGAGTGAGGCCCCGGCTTCCACAATGTAGTGGCAGATGGTACGCTGGCCCAGGGCTGCTGCCTGGTGTAGACAGGTCTCCCCACTGGGGGAGTAGGGGCTGGCTGTGGGCCCATCTAGTCCTCGGGCCGCCAGGCTGTCTCCCAACAGCCACCAGAAATGGCAGGAATTTTGGGGATGGGGAAAGGGGGCAGCCCCAGAGGAGGACAGGCTGGCCAACAGGAAGGGTTGGAGGAAGGGTGGTTTCCAGGGTAACCAGGGGCCTATGCTCCCCAATACTCACTTCTCCTCCACAGCATCAAGGATCTCTGGGGGAGCTGCAGGAGGGAAGGGGGTGCTCAGAGGGGCCTGGCAGCCTCTCCTCCACCCCCCAGGCCCAGGAGCACAGCTCACCATGGTCCAGCAGATAGCGGACTACTTCCTTACTGCCGGTGCTGACTGCATGATGCAGGAGTGTCCGGCTCTGTTGGTCCCGGTGCATGAGGTCACCTCCTGCTCGATGCAACTCCTGGAGCTGAGGACAGGAGGCAGGGCAGGGTTGGGCCTTTTGGGGGCCCCTCCTTCCCCAGCTCCCACACAGGCCACTCCCTGGTGCCTCTGATGGTCTCTCTAGAGCATCAGGAGAGATAAAACTGGCCTCTCACCCCAGGGATGATGGGCCTTGCAGCCTGTGGTTCCCCTAACACTTGTCCCTAAATACCTAGGACAGGTGTACTGGGTGAGGAAGTCCCTGCCAGGAGACACCTAGTGTGGCCTGGGCAGATGGGGCAAGGCAGAATGACACAATTGCCAAGGAGCCCCACAGAAGGCCAGATAATGACAGATAACAGTGTGTGAACAAGTCAGCTCCTGGCCCAACTCAGACATGTCTCTCCCTAGAACAAAGGGCAGGGGCTGCGGAGCCCCGAGCTAGTACCTTACAGAAGTCGTTCCTCTTGGCGGCCTCAATCAGCTCCTCACCTGCACAGAACACCTGTCGTTATACTCTGAGGTTGGTGACCTGGGCTTATCGTGTGAAGATGCATTACTGCAGGGACTGTGCCTGCTGGACCATGTGTGCCAGGGGTGGGCTTGGGGATGACAGTGACCATGTAGGGCTGTATATGGACCCAGGCCTGCAGTAAGCCTCACTCCTATGGTCAGGGAGGGGGGGAGGGGCCCTGGGGGAAGAGGTCTCACCTTGAGGGCTCACAGTATCCCCCTGCAGTGACCTGCAAACAGAGCAGGGTGAGATGTAACCCAGCTCCGCCAGGCCCAGCTGGCCATCCTGACCCCAACCGGTGACGCCCTTCATTCTTTCAACAGTTTATTGAGTGCCTGTCACGAATCACGCACTATTCTAGGCAATGAGGATACAGCTGGAACAAGACAGATGGAAAACTTGCCCTCGTGGAGCTTACATTCTACTGCAGGGACACAAGTCAGACAATAAATAAGGAATGCACAAGTGCTATCAATACAGAGCAGGGTAGTGGGTCCGAGGCAGCACCTTCAGATGGTGTTTCTGGGAAAGACCTCTCTGGGGAAAGAGCCAAGCTGAGATTGTGGAAATGTGCTGGGAAGGGGAGCGTGTGAGGCACCAAGGACAAAAGCCCAGAGGTGGGAGCTGGCCTGAGGCCTCAGAGAAGCAAGGCTGGACTATAGTGAGGGTTGGGGAAGGCTGCTGGGGTCAGAGGCAGCCAGGCACTGGGTACCAAGGGAAGGTCTGCAACCTCAGCTGCCGCTGTGTGTGGAGATTGGCCATGATGATGCAAAAATGCAATGCTGGGAGGCCGTTGGTGAGATGGAAAGGAGGGCTCAGTGGGACTTGTTGAAGACCAGGTACAGGGTGTGGGGCTGAGAAAGCAGGGAGGTAGCCAGGCCTCTGTGAGGCCACTCCTGAAGGAAGAGCAGAGCTGTGTGGCTGGGGGCTCTTCAGGGCTCTGGCTAGGTTCAGGTTGAGGTAGGTTAGTGGTAGAGGGCCGTGAGGGCAGGCGGATGACTAGCTGATGGGCACATCTAGTACTTGCTGGAGCTTATGAACAGCGTGGGGCCGAAGGCAGTAATTAGGAGCCACTAGCCAGCGGATGGGACTTAAAGCTAGGGAATGGAGGAGCCTGGACACTGGGACTCACCGGGGCATGGGGGAACACGGGGAGGCAGGGAGAGGGGAAATAGGGGTGGGGAGGTCAGGCCGGGCTGATGCCCCCAGCAGCTCAGGGTCCAGGATATAAATCTCGTCTTGTGCGATCTCGGTCACATAGTTGAGATGCTCCTATGGATGGGGAGGTAAGGCTAAGGGTCAGGGCTAGGCACACAGACTTCCAGGGCCCCATGATGAGGACTGAGTGGCAGCAAGGGTAGCAGACCTGCAGAAGCCTCTGCTACAAGCAGGAGCCGCCCCCCTACCCCTTTCCATTCCCGCTGCCCAAGCCCAGTCCCTGATCTCTGCGTTGGAGTCCACAAACTCCTGCCAAGCTTTTACCCAGGTGACCCGGCCCTAGCTACTTCTTTTCCCTTGGATGGCACTCTGCTTCAAGGCCCTCCTTCCCACCCACCCAGCAAGCATTTCCTGGGTGCAGCAGCTCCCTTTTCTGTTGGTTCAACTCCTGGCGTTGGGTGGTAGTGGGGGAGATACCCAGTCTGGGGCCCCAGGCATTGGGTGAGTGCCCTGTGGCTGTGAGCATGTGAGCACATTAGCCTATGCAGCTAACAGGAGGCTTCTGTCCCTGCAGAGGTGTGGTGTGGGGCAGGAGACCAGCTGTGAATGAGATAGGTCTGCAGCTTACCTGGGCCCGGTCAATCCTGTAGAAGCGGCTGGCAGTGGTTGCTGTGGGAAAGATGACTGGCTGAGAACAAGGGAAGTCCTAGTCCAGGCCCAAATCCTCTGCTGCCCAACCCAGCTCCCCAGGGAGGAAGCAGGACAGAGTCCAGGAGTGCCAGGAGCTGACCCTTCAGGGCATACTCACCATCTAGGAAACACCACTTAGGGGATAGCTTCTGGCATGTTGGGGACTTGGCTCCAGAACCATCGGGCTCCTATTGAGAGAGAAGCAAAGGTCAATATGGGACAGAGCTGAGAGAGAAAGAAGCCTGGAGCAGGTGGTACCCATCTCCTCCTGCCCCTGACTGCTGACCTGCTGGAGCCTCTCGATGTGGGCACGGCAGAGCTCTAGGTCACTGTCTCCAGGCACCACTACGGTGCCCAGTGGCACAGCTAGAGGACAGAGCAGACCATCAGCAGCTGGCTGTCTCCACTGCCTATCTGCAGGGCAGCTCCTCGCCCTTCCTGCCCATAGCCCTGCCGCTACTCACAGGCCTCCTTGAGCTGCTCCTTGTCATAGTGCAGGGCCTCGTAGTCATGCATGCTGACCCTGCTCACCTGGATCCGCAGCTGCTCAGGAACTGGCTGCTGGCTGTGGGGCAGGGCCAATGAGAGGGGACTTGGCAAGGGCCCTGCCCAGAGGACCAGTCCTTAGCCAGGCACCATGTCAAGTGCTGAGAGAGCCATCCTGCCTTCCATTTTTTAGTGCTGGGGATTGAACCCAGGGCCTTGCACATGCTAGGCAAGTGCTCTACCACTGAGTCACACCCCCAGCCGGTTAGCCTCCTCTTACAGGTGGGGAAACCAAGGCTCAGAGAGGGGCAGTGTCTGACCTCAGGACCTACAGCCCGTGGTGACGGGGTGGAACATACTCGCTGTGCAGGGGGGCAGCACTCCGTCGCTTGGCCTTCTGCACCATGGTGGCCTGGTTGCGCAAGGCAATTCGAATGCGTGAGGCTGCAAGCTTACAGGGTTCACCGTCTACCTGCACTGGGATAGCCTTGGCCGTGGTGAGCAGCACCTCTCGGCACTGCGTCAGCCGCTCACCATGCCCGCCCACCTGCAGCGCTGCCTGTGGGCACAGAAAGCTCAGGTCAGGTGCTGTAAGGAAGGAGAATCTGCTCCTTCCAGAGAGTAAAGGTAAGAGTGACCCCAGACAGAGTACAGAATGGAGGGTAGGGGAGAGACAAGGGGAGGAGACAGAGGCAATTAAGGTGAGTCCTCAGTCGGGGGAGGAGACCCTGAGCCAGAGAAGGGAGGTGAGGTGGCCAGCAGAGGGAAGTGTCAGTGACCTCTTTGAGCTTCAGGTCATGCTCCCAGGCACTGTGAGCAAGGGCTGCAGACAAAGCAGAGCCTGGTCCACTCACCAGAGATGTCATGGTGAAACCAATGACCTCGAGGTAGCCATCATCGTGCCGCTGGGGTTCGAAGTCGTGGTGCTCCCCAGGGTGGCCCCAGGGCATGGTGCCTGCACAGTACCTGAGAGGAGGGCAACGGGGTGGGCTTCAGCATGTGTCTGTGGGACGGGATAGCAGGGCCTACAGAAGCCCCACCTCCTCACCTGGGGATGTTCAGGAAAACGATGCATTGGGGTTTCAGGTCTTGAATCTTGGGGGTCAGGTCCGTTCCGTCACACTGGAGGTAGGAACAGGGGAGTAGAGTTGGGAGACCCACATGCTCAGGTACCCTCCCTCCTCTCCGAATCTTCGCCTCTGCCTCCTTGCTCAGCCCTGCTCACCACCACTCGAATATGCTTGGCCAAGTCCTTGGAGCTGCCCATCAGGAAGTCAGAGAAGGCTGTCTGTGGGAGACAGGGTGTCACCATCTCATGACAGCTGCACAGCTGGGCACAGGGGATGGGGTGCTGGCAGACTCCGACTCACCCCGGCATAGAACATCTTGTTCCGAAAGCGGCTGTTGAATTTCTCTGGGTTGGCCTCTGCATGGAGACAAGAAATGGGACGCTTAGTCAAACTGCTAGTGCGTCCCAGAGTAGGGTGGAAAGGGAGGCTGGGAACGAGTGCCTTTCACTGGGGGACAAGGTCTGGCTCTCCATGGGACACTCCTGTGCCCTCCCTGCCCTGGTGCCCACAGCTTCCTCCTCAGGAGGCTGCCAACCTCGAGACTCGTGAAACTCCAGGGTGACGTGGGCATCAAAGCCCAGGCTGAAGTAGTTGTTGAAGACATCGAGGGGCAACTGGAATGTCAAGGAACAGAAATGAGGGCTGGCCTCACAGATAGCCTCCCCCTCCTGGGCCTACCCCAGTGGCCTCTGCGCTCACTTAGTCCATCTGCTTTTAGAGCCTTTTCACCCAGGGAACAATATGCCAAAGTACTCCCCCACTCCGCCCAGCCCACACCAGCAGGCAGGCTCTCCCCTCCTAGCTCCTCTGAGCACTGCTGGATCCCTCTAGCCCTGTACCCCACACACCATGTACTAATGAGGGGTGGAGACTATCTTATCCACTGTTTAGAACAATGCCTGGCACACAGCAGCTCCTCAGTGTGTGCCAGGTGGCTGAACAAAAAAAAAATCCTGTGAGGTGAGAACTATTATTCCCCAGTTCCCCTAACCAGTGAGTGGGAGTGCAAGGGCCAGCACAGGTCATCTCAGACACTTCAACCCCGTCTGGCTGGCCTACCCGATCAGTGGCACCCTCATCTCGCTCCTCAGGCCCTGCCTCAGGGTTGGGCTCAGCACGGAGGTCCCAGCGATCCAGCTGCACCACATTCCCCTCCTCCACATGGGAGAGGATCTTTGACACGGGCTCATCTGTGTAACCCTGGTAGGAGAAAGCAAGGACTGAGCCCTTCCTGTGGTCAGAGTCCCCCTGACCTCACAATCTCCTCCCAAGAGGCACTTACTCCACCCCAGTTGAGGGTGCGGGCCAGGTCGTTGCCAGTACCCAGAGGCAGGATGGCAACAGGGGGCGGTGGCTTTAAGCGCAGCTGGTCCAGAGTGGAGAGAATCCAGCCAACCTGGAGGAGGGCAGGGCAGGAGAGGACAGTCAGGCCCAGCAGTGGACCCTCGTGGCAAACACAAGCACGTTCCAGGAGAACCTACTGTGCCATCGCCCCCGCATGCCAGTATCCGCAGGTTGTGCACTTTGCGGTACATTTCCAGCCTGAGCAAGGGGAAGATAGGAATGGGGTCAGAGGATGTGTGCTGTGACCCAGAACCAGGCAAACCCCTACTGTCCCCTGCAGAACGCTGGCAAGTACTTACGCCTCCTTGGGCCCTCCCTGGCTCAAGTCAAAGACTTGTCGGGGATTGAGATACCACAAGAAGGACTGGATGATCTTAGCGCCCTGTGGAGTACAGCGAGCCAAGGAGTGTTGGGGCAGAGATGAGGGAGATGGGGGAATGTGGGGTGAGGGATGGGGGGGATGGGGGGGCACAGGGGCAAAGTGGGGAGAAGCACAGGGAGAAGGATGTGGTTGTGGGAACCAGGCCCAATAAGGAGTGAGGGGTGAAGACAGGACAGGATTTTTTCAGGATCCCTGGGAAAGAGGAATGGGAGCAGAAACCCAAAATGGACCTTGGGAACAATAGCTGGTGAGTGGGCGTGACTCCAGTCCCTACCTGAAGCTGTCAGTGGGAGGGAAGCTGTGCTTACCTGGTTGCCCCCGCTCTTGGGGTTCACAAATACCAGCAGGGGCTTCATGAGGGGAGATGGGGTGGGCCTGATGATAAAGGGTCTCCAGCGGCCCTCCTTTGAGACAAAAGGGCTCATAAGGCTCTTCCCTGTTCTGACCCCTCCTACCCCTCCTCGACAGGCCCCAGGGTGACACTGCATCCCCTTGGCACACTGTCACATACCACCTTGGTCAGAACTCTTGGTGGGCCTGGCCAGAGGGGGCAACTGGGAGCTGATTTCCCATTTTTCTCAGGCCCCCAGGGACCAAACTGACTTGCTGTCCCCAAAGACTGAGCTGGCAGCACTGGTTCTGAGAAATAGACCCCAATCTAACCTCAGGCCCTTTCTTGCTAGATTTCCTCTTGAAGGAGGCTCTCTTTTTCTTCTTGCTCGCCTTCAGGGTATTCTGCAAGGGAGGCGGTAACATTGGTGAAAGGGGGAGAAGGTGGCATGGCTGGTGGGCTCTGATTGAGGGTTTTGAGGGTACAGGAAGGATTTACCTGGGGCCTCCTTGCTCGGAGTATCCAGGTGGGGGGGATGACCACCGCTGCATGGACCCCCAGAGAGCAGGGCTCCTCGATCTGCTGCAGCATGAAGCAGGACACCTTGCTGTGGTACTAGAGGGCAGTGACAGATGAGGCTGAGCTGCAGGCCTCAGACCCAGGGACCCAACTCCAGAACAACACAGTGCAGCTCCCAGGGGCGGGGCAGGGCAGCACTCACGGCTTGCTTGCACCAGGAGCAGCTGATGGCCACAATCTCCTTACTGTGGAAGGTGAACTTCTGCTGGAAGCCCTGAGGGTGGACAGGGTTACTGGAGCACAAGGTGGTGTAGAGAAGACCTAGTCCCTCCTTCTGCTACCTTCCTTTCCCCCTTCCCTTCCTTGAGGAAGGAAACCAAGCATATTAAAAATAAATAAGAAAATGGAACAAATATAAAATATACCCCAAAAGCAGGGATGCTCAGTCAGGGGCCTATAGCTGTCTGAGGTCAATTGCAAAGCACTGGGTGCACAGGGGCTCTGGAGAATCTAAGAACCAACTCCTGCTCGACTCAGGTTTGCCTCTTTCTGGTCTCAAGACCAGCCAGGCCCCTGAACATTCTGTGCTACCTACCACATTCCTCCTCTGTTCAAACCGTTGGCAAGGACCTACTGTGTGCTGGGCACCGAGAATAAATGGAGGGACAAAGCCATGCACCTGTGAGAGCTGCTCTTACTGACAGCCTGTCCTCGAGCCACACTGCCCTCGGGGGAGCATGACCCGCCCAGCTCAACACTTGGCAAGTAACATTCACTCAATAAATATCTGTTGAACGAATGGGTAAGACTACAGGACTCTCAGGCGTCCCTCTCCCGTTCACAGCAGATCAGACTCACGGCACTGAAGAAAACCTTCCTCCCTGCCCTCCTGCTCCAACCAGAGACTAAGAGCACAACCAGGGGTGTTGGTGACTGAGAGCCAGCCTGGAACTGCACGCTGGGGCCGTGGTTGTTGTCCACATCGGACACACTGGGATGCTGGGCAGAAGATGTCTAGCACCCTCGGAAAGGGTCCTCACCTTCCCACAGTGCCGACACTTGCCGTCCTGGCGTCGCCTGTGTACCCAATGGTGTCGTACGAAGGTTGGCTGGGGAGGAGAGAAATGTCACTGGAGTGAGCGAGGGGTGGAGGGGCAAAGTCCTGAGCTGAACGAGGCAGCGAAGGGCAGGGCCACAGGAAGCCCATATCCTGGGGTGGGGGTGGGGAGGAGTGGGCGGGAAGGCTCAATGCGCATGCGGTGCCCCACCCCTCTACAGGCAGGAGCAGCAAGCCTCCCCTTTGGAAGTTGAACCCCCTGGCGGCAGGTTGCGGGTACTGCAGAGAGATTTCCTTAACTTGGGGTCTTCCCTGTCGCTAAGAACCCTGTGCACTTACCTCGCGGACGTTCCTGGAGCCTGATTCACGGAAAGATGGCTTACAGCGGAAATTTATCTGTGAGACATTACAGTGACCACCAACATGTCAAGAGCCTCCTTTTGGACAGGGGTCACCCTCACAGGTAGTGAGAGCCCCAGATCCTCCTGGGAGCCCTTGAAACGTAGTAGCTTCTCTGAAGCCCTCCTGCCCACTGGCCTGAAGGGATTTGGCTTAAGATCCTGGGATAGAGAGGCTGGGGGCTCCATATCTGTCTCCCACAAAGTGGATCATGGTTTGCCAGCCCTATTTTTCCTCGCCTTCCAGCGCTCCTAACCCAGGTGAGGGAGGGCAGGAACCCATCCCTGCCTGCACACTGGGCTGTCTCCTGGAAACCTTTAGCTAACGTGCTGAACCCAGGTTGACAGTCACCTTCCATGAGAGATTGTATTTCTACTTCTCTTTCCACAACTGTCCCTATTTCAGCCTCAGAAGAGTCACAGGAACGCCTCAACTGTACAATTCAGAGACCAGGGAAGGCAGTCCATGCTTGCCTGTTCATGCCATTCCTAGTATTACAGACTTTGCCCTACTGGCCTGGGCTTCTGCCGGTCAGGGAGCCCTCCTCTTCTACACCAGCCTTCCCACCTCCTGTCTCCACTGACCCACCTGCCCAATCTTCCTCTCCCTCCCTCTAGATGCATAGTCCCAGACATGCTCCCAGCTGCAGATAGGCTGTGCTCTCTCTGTTCCCAGAAGTAGCATGTAAGTAACAGAGCTAACAAACAGGACCAGCCCAGTCATAGCCAAGCAAATGAAGCTTCAGTAAATTCGACAGCCTCTTCTAAATGTTAGTCTGGACATGATAAAATGGCCACCATTTGTTAATGTATGCCATCAGGTAATAGTCATTGAGCCCCACTCTATGATCTAGGCAGCCGAGTACAGCAACTAATAAATGGCAGAAGCCTGGACTGAAATTCAGGTACTTTGACTCCAGGGTCCACAACTCTTCACTATCACGCAGGCTGGATCACTCCTAGCAGGCAGTGTGTGTGTAATGTGCATGTGTATAGATACATGCACACATGTAGTGTGCACCCAGAGGTCTTGAGCACCCCAAGGGGCAATTCAGCAGTTGCACGCACCTTCTCCAACTGTTCAATGCAGGGGGTGTGCACCACAATCTTGCAGGCTGCACACTTTCTCCTGGATACTGACTTCTGCTGTAGAACAGAGAGAGAGGGTCCCTGAGGCACCAGACAGAAACTCTACCCAGACACCTTCTTGGAGCAAGCAGAGAACTCTGCATCTGCTCTGGCACATGCAGCTCCAGGGCCAGTGCTTGTCACCAGGACAAGGTCCCTATACCCCTCACCCCAAGGCAGCCCACAGCAGGCATAGCACCCTCAGACAGAGCTGTACCTAGCTCTGAGAAGGGATGCAGCACTTGCAGGGGTCTAGACCCTTCTCCACCGCCAGGGGGCAGCAGGCCCTGCTGAACTCACTCACCAGCATCTTGGCTACACAGTACTGCTCCCCAACATAGCAGAAGTCACCCGACACGTTGGTCTCGAACCAGATATGCTCCCCATACGTTGCTGACTCCTAGACCATGGGTGAGCATGCTCAGTGCACTCTTATCACCCGCTCAGCCACCACCAGCCCTGTCCACCCTCCATCTCCCAAGACATATGTGCTTCAGCCACCACAATCTGCTTTCCCCTGTCCAGTTTTCCCCACTGTCCATACTCTTTAGGCTTGGCTCTAAGGTAGTCAGTCATCCCCAGGAAGTCTGCCCAAACCATACAGGTTCCCTGTCCCTACTGCTCCTGTGACAGAGCCAGCAGGGACTGGCACACAGTAGTGTTCAGAGGCACCCAGCTACTCACACTCCAATCCACAGTACTCCGGATCTGCCGCTCAGATTCAGCACACAGGGCCCCGGGGGCAGGAGGAGGGGGTGCCAGGTGCTGGAGGCCCGATTTGGTGATGGCTTTCCTACAGAAAAGGAGACAGCTGAGGCTCTGGGGCTAGCTAGCCACTTGCTGACTCTACTTCCCTCCCCAACACCTGGGTTCCCTGCCCTCACATGACCTCCAACAATGCCAAGACAGGCAGAGCAGCAGAAAGGGTAGAGGAGCCACAGCAGGCTAGGCACTCAGAGGCTTAAGAGACTCCACCCTCACAGTCTCTTGAAGATGCACTAGCTTTGGGCACTGTCCAGAGCTGGCCATCCTCAGGCCAGGTATAGCATTAAGACCCTCACCCCAACCCAGACCCCTCAAAGGCTGTAGCTATACCTACACAAGCAGGGCACTCCAAGCCTGGGGTCCAGCTGACTTGCGCCGTAGGGCTACCTGGCGTCTGCGGGACAGTGGGCGCACACGGGGAGGTATCAGGGGGCCCACTGTGGTGCCTGAGGCTCTTTGGCCCCCAGGGCCAAGGTGCTGGCCTGAGGACCGCTGCTGGCTAAGGCGCCGATAGTGGCCATGTAGGCCCCAGAGAGTGTGGTCATACACCACATCGGCAGGGAGCAGGCGAGAAGAGGCTCGGCGCAGGCAACGGGGCATGGGTAGCAGTGGCCGAGTGGGCCGGTGTGGGGAGGGCCCTGGTGTCCTAGTGCCTGTCTGGGCAGCACTCGATGCCCCAGCTGCCATATCCCCCTCCTTCTCTTTCTCCTCCTCCATGCCCACAAGCCTGGCCAACAGCAGAGGTGCATCCAGAAGTTGAGTCCCACCCACAGCAGGCTGCAGGGTGGGCATCGTTTCCACGACAAAGCGGGGGTTGCAGGCAGGGGGTGCAGTGCTGGAGCGCCGGCGGCTGGTACTCCAGATGCCCACTCCACAGCTTGGGAGGCATCCCTGGAGCTGGGCACTGGAGCGGCGCCTCTGGGCCAGCGATGAGGAGGCCTGCCCAGCTGGGGAGCGGCGCCGGGCCTTGCCTGTGGGCAGCCCTACACCACTGGGCCGCCACTTCCCCTCTCCAGGGCCTGGTGCCTTCTGCTGGAAGTGTCTCCTAAAGAAGGTCTCCATGCCAGGGGCAGGCTGGTGGCTGTTGGGCACACAGACCAGAAGCATCAAGAGCTGGGCCAGGCTGCAGCCCATCTGTGTCCAGTGAGCAGAGAAGGGACACTTAGGCGTTTGGGATGAGGGTAACCTTGGCCTCTGGCCTCCATGAACACAGTGTTGGTGGGTACTAGGGAATTTGCAGACAGCTGACACTCTTCCCCATCTGTACCCAGGCTGCCTCAGGAGTCCTAGATAGGAGGTACTTCCCCTGCCCAGGCACCAAAATCCAGACCCTGGGGCATAAAAGGCTTTACCTCCCTTACCAGAAGCTAATGGAAAAGATCAAGCTGGGAGTTGGGGTCTGCCTATGCAGACTGTAAGGCTTGCCTCCCAGGACACAGCACAAAGCAAGCTATGAAATAAAATGATGCTCTCTGCTAAGAAACTCAGACCAGGTAAGAGCCCCAGACCCAGCATTAGGGCCAGGCTGAGGGTGGAACATAAAATGGGGAGGGTCTGATGTCTGGCTCAGGGATCAAAGGCCCTGAAGAAACCAGGCCTCAGAGAACTGGAGTCAGCCCCACAGGGAGGAGTGTTCTGTCTTTGCTCAGGGGGACCAAGCAAGAGCCTTGGGCCAAAGAGGAGCCTTCTGGATTTCAGGTGTGTACATCTGTATCTCTAAGAACTTTCTGGTTCTAGAAGGCACTGTCTCATGTTTCTGAAAGGACAGAGTAGGGGCATTCCAGATGATGTCCACCAGCTATGCAGCTGAGGGGCCCTAATGCTTGGGGGGTGGGGGGGTGCTAAGGCACACAATTCCAAGCACCAACTAATTGGAGTTCCCTCTTGCAGGGAGGCAGGAGGCATGGGTACCACCCTTGCTCCACTTGGCCTCACTTACCATCCTGAGCCCTGCTTCTTTCACCTGCTCACCTCCACACTGCCCTTTCCTCTTTCCCAGACCACTGGCATGAGGTTCCTCTGCCCACAACTCCCCTACACTTGGGAAAGGGCAGGAAACCTGGAATTACTGAGTGGTGATGCCTCCAGAGAGCCCAGGGACACCCATGTCCCCATTAGGTATTCTCTTGGGCTGAGGAGTCTTGTGGGGGGAGTGCAATCCAGCCCCTGGCAGCCATGGAGGCCCAAGTCGCAGTCAGGGAACAGAGCTGCCTGGGCAGACAGGAAAAAAACTTCTACCTGGTGAGGGCCTGGCCAAAGCCAGCCATGGGTGGTAACCTGGACCAGCAGTGAATGGGAGAGATGTACTGTCAGAGAGGCCAGGTTGGAAGTCACCCTGGTTGCATGTCTAGCACCTTTTCCTGGCTCATTGGTCTGCTACTGCCCTGTGGGTCTGCACAGGCAGCCTCAGGGCCAGTTCATCAGGGTATGAGGGAAAGGTGAGTGGGCCAAGGAGTCCACGCTCTTGCAATCAGTGAGTAGGGAGGCAGCTGAGTGGGTGAAGCAGCAGTCAACACTGCCCAACACAGGGCAGTGCTCTCTGACCCCAAAGGTGTTCTTTCAAACCAGACAGACTGGGTAGGAGATGAGCTCCTTAGGCAGAGAGTGATGGCTTTCTCATAAAATCAATGTCACCTTGGCTATACTCACTGGACCCACTATGTGTCAGTCCTTTTTTTTTTTTCTTTAAGCAGTACTGGGGTTTGAATTCAGGGCCTCATGCTTGCTAGGCAGGCATTCTACCACTTCAGGCACTCCACCAGCTCTTTTTTTTTTTTTTTTTTATGTGTGTGTGTGTGTGTTGGGTATTTCTGAGAACTGTGTTGGGTCTCATGAACTATTTGCCCAGGCTGGCCTTGAACTGCGATCCTCCTGATCTCTGCCTCCCGAGCAGCTAGGATTACAGACATGAGTCACCGGTGTCCAGCTTGTGTCAGGCCCTTCACACACGCTTACTCTATAAGCCATAACATCCCAAGGAATTGGTACTGTATTACACCGCAAGCCTGATGATGAAACTGAGGCACAGAGGGGCAATGGCCCAAACCCCACAGTCAGCCAGTGGAGCAAGTGTTGGAATCTAGTTGAGGCCAAAGTCTGACCCCAGAGACTGGCAAAGCACAGGGTTTTCCCTTTGGACCTAGAGGCTAGGACTGAGGTGGGACAGTGAGGAAGGGAGCCATAATAATAACCACCCTATTTACTCAACACCTATGCTGTGGCAGGCCCTGGGAGGGAGGCAGTACTGGTGGCTCCACTAGGGAGATAGGGAAACTGAGGCTTGGAGAGACACAGTAACTTTGCACAGTCACACGGCCAATCAGTGACAAAGACGGGGCCTGAGCCCAGATCTGCCTCATAGGGGTGGCTCTGTGTCCTGGGAAAAAGAAGCCTGCAGGGTTGGTTGCCCGCTGCTGCCAGGGCACAGGCTTGCCAGTACTCTCCAGGGTGTCAGCTTTCCCTACCCGTCTGCTCAGGCTGTTCTGTGACAGCTGCCCAGCCTGGAGGAGATTAGTCACCCGGACACACACCGCCTGATGCTAGTGTCACCCAGAAAACAAAAGGCCACAGTCAGTGTGGGGGAGGGTGCTGCTGTGCTCCCTGGGCAGTGGTGAGGGCTGGGCCCTGCCTGCTGATCCAGACCTGCTTGACAACAGGGCTAGGAAGACATGGCCCCTATCACGACAGACACATCTCAGCATTCGTGGGGCAGCTATAGCCCAGCCCCACACACTACTGGGCACCCTAAACCTCTATCTGTTCAGGAATCTCCTCAGCTGCCCAGGGTGCAGCCCCTCCCAGCGGAGTGCAAGGCAAGCCAGGAAGTCAGTGTTGTGTGACCATGTACCACAGGCCTCAGTTTCCCTATTAGACTGACATTTTATGATAAGCTCTCCTGCTGGCACCCACACCCCTGGGCTCCCAGTGCTCACTCCCCCAGGTCCCATGCTTCCTGTTCCTCTGGTCTGCTGGTCAGCAGTTGCCTGACTCCTCACTTCCTATCTGTTGGGGCTTCTCCTGGATCTAATCAGAAGCCCTGCCTGGGCCTGGGCTCTTCTCATGGTGCAGCTGAGTGGCTGCTGCTTCTCACCTCATGCTCTCTGTCACCTCCAGCACACCACACAGGACACATAAAGGTCACTGGAGGAGGCCCCAGAGGGCTCTGACACCAACAGCACAGCAAAATGGTTGCCTGCCTCTGGGCTTCCTGGTGAGGAGCCTGTGGGGAAGCCCGCCCCACCCAAGGAACACAAGATGGGGAAAACAGCTCTGAGTATCCCAACCTCTAGTTGGCTACCAGGGGTTTGATGAGGGAATGGCCTGTGGGAGGACAAAGGATGCTATAAGAGAGACGGGCATGGTGCAGTCTGGCCATGCACCCTTGATGAGGGGCTGCAGCGGCTAAGCCAAAGCAGCTGCCAGTGTGGGTTAAGGGACCACAGTGCTTCATCCAACTACCAGCTAAAAAAAGGACTCCTGGTCTCCCATCACACCATTGCATGTCTGCCAGCATCAGGTGGGAAAGATCAGCACTGTGGAATCCTGCACCTGCCGCTGCTACCCTGGGCTGACCAACTGACCTTTCCAAGTTTCAACTTTCTCATCTGCAAAATGGGGGTCATGCCACCCACTAGTTCCAAAGGCCGGCATACAGAGGTTCTGACGCAATGATGGATGCAGGCATCTGATGATACCTGGCAGGGCAAGGGCACAGCAGGGCCCACATCCCAACAGACCCCAGGGCCTCTGATCCTGCCATCTCCTGGGATTTCTCACTGACCAAGTTGGGATGGGAACCCAGAAGAGGAAGCAAGAATGCCCAGGGTGGCAACCACTCACCACATGAGGAACACAGCCTGGCAGCCCATGCCACCTGGGGTCTACTCATACTGAGGAGTGCCCTCTGCCCAAATCCCTGGCTGGTCTCTGGGGAGTCCTCTGCCTCCAGAGAAACTTGCTCAGGACACCCGTGGGGTTCTGCCATAATGCCCATTCCATGCCATGGGCAGGCCTTGCTTGGCAAAGGCTGGACCTGGGATATGGTGATCCCCATCTCCAGCAGCCCCAGAGCAGGGACTGGGGCCTCAAGCCACCTCTGGCTGCTCTGCTCCTATAGCCAAGGTGAGAGGGAAGGAGACAGAAGAGCTGGAAGGGAGGCTGGCACATACCAGGCCAGCCTGGGTTGGCCAAGCCGGTGCCCACTCCCCCAGCCTCTACTCAACCAAAACGCAACAACAATGCACATGGGGAGCAAGCAGGTGAGGAAAATGTTGACTCTTCAGGGTCTGCCCTGCTTGGCAGGGCAGGAGCTGGACCAGACCCTGTTCCTTTTCCATCAGCTTCAGGGGGTGTCTGGCAAGACCAGGTCCCTATCTAGAGATGGCGGTGCCCAGGCCCACCCTGACCCACCCATCTCCAGCCCCACCAGAAAGGCACAGGAGGGAGTTAGCAGGAAGCAGAGAAGGTTGGGGGCCCCTTTGACCTGATCTGGAAGGCAGGGCAGCAGGCAGTGGGGGCTAGGGTCCCTGGGGCAGCTCTGGCTCCAGCTCCGGGCTGCGGGCCTCTGCTGAGCAAGTCCTAGTTTGGATAGCGAACTGTGGTGGCTGCTCCTCCGCCCCCTCCCCCTGCCTGACAGCCGTTATGAAAATAGCCCGATTGGTGGTAACTGACTGCACTTCCTCTCCAGTGGTGGCTCCGGGCCCTGCAGCAGGCAGGCAGCAGGGAGCCGGTGGGCGGGCAGCCTTGCCTCCTGACTCCTCTTCCCTAAGGCCAGAGCCAGTAGAGACAGCCTGACCCATAGCCTCCCCTCTGTGATAGCCAGCCCATACCTGACTTGGCTCTGGAGACAAGGTCTAAGGAGGGATAAGTGGGGTCCATTGGTTCCCTTTTGAAGGAAGGGGGACAGTCACCTAATGTCTTATGTCCACTGCACAGGTTTTTTGGGGTTCAGGCAGCTAAGTACACTGGCTTCAGACAAATAATCGCCAAAATAAATATCTGTGGAGTGTTTCACAACTTAGAAAGCATTTTTCATGAGCATTATCAAATAGGAGGCTGGTAATTCCCCTGTGCTGGTGGTTTACTGGCCCCCACTAAACAGACGGGCCACCTATGGTTCATGGGAGCTTGTGGCTGTCATGGCTGAGAGCCAGGACTCCAGAAAGGATATTCTTGTTTGCTACTACATCAAAATATGCTGAGTGGTAGTTTCTTAAAAGTTAGGTGCAAGGTGGAATCCAAACCATATCAATAAACCTTTTGCCATACTATCTTGCAGTGCATTTTGTTTTAGTTTTTGAAATGGGGGTTCTATGTTGCCCAGGCTGGTCTTCAATGCCTGAGCTCAAGCAATATCCCTGCTTTAGCCTCCTGAGTGGCTGGGACAACAGGCTCGTGCCTCCATGTGTGGGGCTATCTTGTATTTTGCATTTGGTAACATCAGAACTGATTGACTGAGCTATGCAGATCTGCCAAATGTTGACACATTTCATCACACAGTATCAAAAGACCACATTTGCTATCGGTACTGATCTCAGCAGAGTTTGAGGTCGTGGGGAGCTGTTAGGGTCTCGATGGTGGATGGAAGGTTTCTCATATTCTCATTTTTGCTCAAAAGCTCAAATTTTCTCATTGGCAACAAATGCTGATACTGTTTTTGAACTGGCAGGCTCACCTCATTCATTTTTGGGAAAATGTCTGCAGACACCCAAGTCTGACTAGTTTGTCTGTCAGGTGTTCAAGCAAAAATGGTGCTCATTAAAAAGAATGCCTGACATATAAGAGCTTTTCTTCATCAGTTCCACTTTAGCAAAAGAAATTGATATAAACCCCATTTCTGCACCCAGAATATTAAAAAGACGTATACTCAAGGGTCTGGATTTTAATATTCTAGAATATAACATTACAATATATATTATAATGTATTATACATAATTTTTTTGACACAGGGTCTCACTCTGCAGCCCATGCTGACCTTGAAGCCATATCCTTCTGCCTCAGTCTCCCAAGTACTGGAATTACTGGTGTGTGCCACCACAACTGGCCAAAATTAATAATTTGTCCTACCTTTCTTTAAAGAAATGTGAACTGGAGTGAGGGACTCATGTTGTGAACACTCAGGAGTCTAACAACCACTGCTCTGGTAGACACCAGCACAGGGGAACAGGCATGTGCCAGCACACTCAGAAAAAATTATTATGAAAATAGTTTTGACCTCATCAATCCTCTGGAAAGTCTAGGGCACCCCCAGGACCACGCTTTGAGACCCACTGATTCAGAGTAAATTCTAAATCCTCCAGTCAGGCAAATGTGACTTCTGCAGTGTGGCAGTAACTCAGCCTCCTGGGCATGACACAAACACTTGTTTCTAACACAGCCAAACTATTTTCTGTCCCCAGACTGGCTATGCTCAGCTCCTGCTGTGCTCCTGTACCTGGCACATCTTCTTCCTGGAATATTGGCTTCACTCTCCATGTGCTACCCACAGCCCACTTGCCCACGGCTGCCCAAACTAGTACCCCCACTCCAGCTAACATCTGCATACCACCCATTTGGCTCCTCTGCCACTGGGCCCCTAAGAAAGCCTGCTTCTTTCAGGTCCTTATGCCTTATTCTTCTGTCAGACTAGTAGCAACTGGGTCAGTGTATCTGGGCCTGCCCAGCACAGGACCTGGCAGTGAGCTGTTTACCACCACACAGATAGCTCAGGAGGAAGGAACGGGAATTCCGCTGGGGAGGGGTCAGAGCCTTCAGGGA